GATATTAATTACCTCGCTCAATTGTACTGTACGAGGTTGAAATCGTAATGGGGCGTCAATGCGTGGGTATAGTCGACAGCTATGGCGACATATGGTTTTCCTCTCATACTTTCCGTCGGGCTGGTGCGCAGTACATTTTTATGTTTGCTACCCCTGAGTGACGGTGGTCTCTGCGCATGGTGAAGCGGTGGCAGGATGGATACAAAATGAATTGGTTAAGACCCTAGTATGGTATCTTTTTGATCTAGGTGATGCGGATGAAGACACCCAACTGGCGGACTGCTTGGATCCAGATCGTAAAGCGCATTTGGGTTGCCCAAGCAGCTCTCCAACCGTAAGCGTAACACAGCGGCTTCTACAACTCAAACATCCTCATCAATAAATAGACTAAAAACCGTCGAAAACTCTGTGAACGTTATCGACAACAAGATCGACGTACTTGTCTCTATTATGCAAGCAGCAACCCAACACCCGTAGCGCTTGACATACCCAGAAAGCGGTAGGGGTTGAGAGCGTAGAGCCGATATCAGCTCTTCCACAACCAAAAGCCCGGAAGGATATGTACTATACAAAGTGTATTGGAACGCTGACGCAGCTCGACACCTATTCAAGCCTGTCAGTGCGTGGGCATCGTTGGAGAGAAAGAAGAGTGGTGTTTTACCTAGTCGTCTAAGTGCTGCCAAACCTATCGGCGAAGATTTACGTGGCTTTTTAAATCAGAAAGGATCGCCGAGTTCTTTAAACACCACTTATTTGACCTTTTCCATGTTTGTAGCGCACTACACCAACAATTGGCTGGAGGCCAGATTTGGTTTGAACGTTCTCACAATTGATACGCTAGCTAGATACATTCGGCTTGACAGAAATTGCCGGGTCATAAAGTCTAAGCACGCTTATCTGCAGTGAGAGTCTTGTCGAAGTATAGATGGTCCTGCTTAGTATCTTTGATCTTGTCAAAGAACTTTTAGTCTCATCTAAGTAATTCCAGTCTTGTCGTAAAAGCATTGCCTTTTTGATCTTGTCTCACTTTCTTTTTGAGCCCAATGCCGATTTTATATAACTTTATTCCGACCTAAAAAAGTGCAATTTTTTGGACATTTGTGTAGAAGGCTAAACTCATTCGCAGTTCGTTAGAACTGTCGTTGCGGGTGCTGGGCCAAGGAATTCTTCTAATCTTACGACCTTCGCGCCCACGTCGCGTAACATTGTACTATCATTTGGCAGCGCTCAGGCAACAATCGTACCAACATTTGTCATTAAATGGTCACTCTTCTGCTCTGTCCGCGCTAAAATGAGCGGACATTGTGACATGCACGACGGATGCATGGCAGCATTCGGACGAGATGGCTTCACCGCCATTCGCGGAGAAAGCAAAGCAAAGAGATGAGCGAGTAAGAGCGGGCGTGGGCGTGGGCTCGGGTGGACTGCATCTGCAGCAATGGCATCAGCAGCAATGGCATCAGCAGCAATGGCAGCACATTGAGGAAGCGCGCCCCCATTCGCGGAGGGGAGCAAAGAGGTGGGCGAGTAAGAGTGGATGCACGGCAGGAACGGCATCAGCAGCAATGGCATCAGCCGCAATGGCAGCACATCGAGCAAGTGCGCCCTTATTCGCGGATGGGAGCAAAGAGACCAGCAGCAGTGGCAGCACATTAAACGATTGCGGTCGAGGCGCGTGAAACACATTGAACGAGTGCAGTTGCGGTGCGAGCAACAAACAGAAGGTATTACTAAGAGGCCAAAGCGAAGACCCATTCAATGCAAAACGGTTTCTTGTTGCAACGAGATTGATATGGCAGCATGCGCTTTGGCTGATTGCTGCTACGTATCGCGCTCGAAGGCTGCTTTGGTAGATTCGCTGAGTTGATTGAGACGGTTTTCTTCATCGAGTGCATTTGGGTGGCCTCGACCACTCTGCAAGCGTTGGGGTTAGTGGAAGCAGTGTATTGAACGCTGTTCGGCAGGTCACTCGCGAGACCAGAAGATATGTCTGCTGTGGCTTGTTAATGATGTTATTCTTCGATTTCCAGTCAACTACCAGCATAGAGTGCAACGTTTCTCCCTGCACTTTGTAGATGGTGGAGCCGACTGCACACACGAACGGAAACTGTTGGATTTTCACTGAAATATGACGGCGCTCGCCGCTCGGAGCTGGTGGAAGTGCGATCCGGCATTTTGAAAACGGCTCGGTTGTGGAAAACACAGGAAAAAGCTCTGAGTCCAGCTCTGGCCGAAAAGAGAGCTCTCGTGGTCGAGGTGGGCGAAGCATGACATAGTTTGGTGGGTGGCTTGGCATATGTATGATTGACCCAGTTACACCATCTCGCACAGGGCGGAAAGTAGTCGCTGGTGGGAATTGAATGTACTCAAGCGATTCGAGGGTACCATTGGCGACGCCCTTGGCCGTCCCCACATTTCGAGTGATCTGGATTGGCATTCCGTCAATGACATCGAGGAGCGGCGCCTTGCGGCCGAACCGACTGTCCGGTTGTCCAAGTACGTACCCAACGTCGTGGTGACTCAAGTTGTTCAGAGCGCCTTTGAAGTTGGCTACAATGCGCAATGAAAATACGTCTGGTGGAAACTGGCTGGTTGTTATGGCGATGAATGCGCTGTAAATTGCTGCCAGGTCTACACCAAGCTCCAAAGCATCACTGTCATTGATACTAAGTATGAATCGCACTTTGTATTATCGTGCTCGCGCTCGTGCTCGCCCATGATTCCTGCCAAGTCGACACCAAGCTCCAGAACATCACTGTCATTCATACCAAGTAAGGACCGCCCTTTGTAGTCTCGTTCTCTCCTCTCTCTTTGTTCTCATCACACTTTACTTTTCCGCTTTCTGTCGCTCTCACACATGTATACTTTTAGAAATTTCTGTCCATGTTACTTTTAGAAATAGATCAGTACTTTTAGAATTAGATCAGCTTCAAACTGCGAACCCCGGACGGAACGGCCGGTACGCCAATAAAATGCTGTGATTTGTCATGTAATCGAGAGTGTTCTGCTTTATTGTTTTAGGACGCGAAAGCTACTTCCACCCGAGACCTTTTACAAAGCTCACATAAGTCGGAAGCAACTTCCTTTTCCGCACAAATGATGGGCTGTGCAGGATTAAAAAGAGGTATTCGTGAGTTTGTTTTCTCAAAGTTTCATGCGATAGTTACACGTATGAATAAATTGCGCAGACAACTGCGAAAATTTGTTATTTACAGCTAAACGATGAAGTAGTGCTTCTATTCAGTGGAATGAACGATTAAAGTTATAGAAAGAAGCTTTTAATTTGTAGGTTTGTCATAACGCTTACCAGGCTAAGTTGTGAATGGTAAATTTAGAGAGAATTTGCACCACTGTTTTCTATCCAACATGACATTGAGTAGCTTTACCAGGTTAAAGTGATTTTTGTACTAATTAAAAAAGCCGGTAAACTCGCATTAGCTGAATAAATGCCTCATTTAAAACTCGGGACTCAAAAAAAGAAAAGAAAACTTAGTGGCACCAAGTCTCCTTTTTAATTTACCAAGCTGGTCACCAACTTGGTGCCCGTCCTATTCATTCCGCATCAGCTCTGTGTATCCGTGCGAAGTGCATGACTTCAAGGTACTAACCCAGATGTAAAGACCATCTCCACGCCTTTGTGGGTCAAGTTCCTTGCCAACTGCTGTAGACGGTTGTTGTACTTTTACAGGCATAAACAAATGTTTTCCGGGATTGCGAAAGTTCAACTAAAAAAAAGCTTTTATATTAATAATTCTTGATTGCGACTACAGTCCCCCTGAATAGCTTGCTCCTCATATACCCCTTTATATCGGATCATTTAGATGAAGGTACCTTGGACAAATCACAAGATCGCTGTGATTTGCCTATGAAAATGTATCAGACGACCTCTACGCTTATTGACGGGGACTTCTTTAGTAGACTACTAATATAAACAGCGCATTATAGAGTTCCTTTGGCAGCACAGGCGCCATTCTATGCGGCCACAATTTCTACTTTCAGTATTAGAAACTAGACTTCTTTCATTCTGGCCAGGTTTAGTGAAGAGGGCGAACGCAGGACTCAGTTTTATCATAACACCAACGTGCACCCAAGCGCTCATAATGAAAACGGAAATCAGACACCTACGTACATGTACATGTATCATCTTTTACGTTGCAGCTACAGTATTTCATACCGTATGCTTCAAAGTGCGATTTATAATGTAGAAGTATGCACAAGCTCGCCGAGATGTGTTCAGCTCACATCTCCGCATTGTGCTGTCGGCATCATCGTATTAATAGCGTGGTGCAAGTTTTGAAAGGTGGTGCCACCACTCTTTTGTTTTTCATGGTACTTAAACCGATCCGAACGCTACAGCCAGCCGTGTATTATAGATCCGGGCTCTTAAGGTCAGTTATCTTTTTGTGGTCATTGCTCGCAAGAAAAGTATACCAATGGGGCATCAGCCTGGTCAGTCTGATCCAGATGGCTAACCTTTTGATCTCCCACTGGCTGTTTTGCCGTTGGTCAAATTTACACAAGCTGCTGAAGCTGTAAGCTTAACGAAATTAATGGAAAACTCATGTAAAGAGCGTTGAACATGAATACGAGTACCCACCATAGGGGTACTTGAGCGTTTAATTGGGCCGTCCATGTTCGATGTAAAGGTTGCTTGCCATCGAAGTCCCTGAAGCTTTACCATTTTTATCATCTTACAGTCTGTAACTCACAAGTTGCGAATTCCACATCACAAAGGCTTTGATCGACAAAACACAGATTGTAGATAACAAATATCTGACGTATGTCTTTCAAGACCAGGTATGCACGACCGGATCTGTACACGTATCAGCTATTTGCACGGAGTGTAAAGGGAGGCGTTGTGTTCAACGTGAGAGGGTTAGGATGTGCTCTCTACAGTGGTCTCTTTGGTTGTTCGAAGCAATCGCATTCGGCCACTCGACCTCGTTCATTCTCAAATTTTCCTCATCTTGATTTTTGCTGTTCGCGTTTGGATAAACAACATGGTCTCTCCATTCAAGTGTCTGTTGGCTTCAGCCCTCGTTGTATCATGTGTCGACGCACACGGCTGGCTGTCCAAGCCGGAGGCAACGTTTAGCAATGAAGCAGGGGATAAAACACAGTTCATTGCCACGATCGAGGCTTCATCTTCGGGATTTAAAGGCACTTTTAACACCGCGCCGAAGGAAAACGTGGCCTCTTTCACTAAGGCTTTCGACGCCAGCACGTACAAGTCTCTGAAGGCATTCATCGATGACAAGGCCAAGATCACCGTTTCGGGTGCTACACTCACATGCGGTAATGCTGAACCGGACGCCACTGCGCAGCCCCTACCAGCTAAGTTGGAGTGGTATCACTCCGAGTCCGAAGGCTTCACGGCTTCCCACGAAGGTCCATGTGAGGCCTGGTGCGACAACGAGCGCGTGTTCCACGATGAGAACTGCGCAGCCCACTTTACTACTGCACCCGCTGTAATGCCCTATGAGAAGAGGAAGTGTGCGGGTGCTAGTAAGCTTACCTTCTTCTGGATGGCCATGCACGGACCGACGTGGCAGGTGTACGTGAACTGTGCCACGCTAAGTGGAGGCTCGGGTGGTGGCGCTGCAACGCAGTCATCTGGTAGCTCAGCTACTACCACCGACTCTTCGTCTGCTGGATCCCCGGCGGCACAGACTCCGCCATCCGGTGGCTCACCGTCCACTCCCACTACGGATTCTTCCTCTGCTGATACTCCGTCTGTCACACCAGCTCCAGCGTCGGGTGGGTCCCCGTCGACCCCCAACACTCCGCCATCAAACACAACGCCGTCCACTTCGACGACGTCAGCTCCTTCAACGCCCATCACAGACGAGTCGGACTGTGGCTCATACGATGTAGCGGGTAGCGATGAAGACTGTGGTTCGTACGATGTTGCTGGTGGAAGTGCCGATGAGGGCCAAGACACGAAGCAAACGAGCACAGGCGGTAACACTTACCAACAGGGTTCAACTACCACTGGTGGCAACACGTACCAGCAGGGCTCCACGAACACTGGTGGTAACTCGAACCAATGGTCGAACACTGGAGGTAACACAAATCAGTGGTCGAACAATGGTGGGAACTCAAACCAATGGACGAACACCGGCACGGGGTCTCAGCAGAATCCGTATCAGGGCACCGGCACGGGTTCGCAGAACAGTTTCGACTTCAACACATTCCAGGGCACGCCGAATGCTGGTACAGTGGCGCCGCAGTATATGTAGATGTCGGTTCCCTTTTTTGCGTAAGTGTAGCGTATAATACTTGTCTGAGAATGAGCAATAAACAGTTTTTTGTGTACCAATTTGCTCTACATTACTCTTATCATCTCAACGTCATGTTCGTCGCAATACTACTACTGATATTGCAGAAATATTTTCATAAAATTAAATTAAAATTTCTGATAGTAGTATGAGAGCGAAAATGCGTGATTCATATTAATACCGTGGAACCCTTCCCCGTACATGTGACATTATAAAATCCAGATTTTCACATATTTATATAGTTAAATTTAAAATAAATACTAAATATTATCCAGCTATTGCACAAGTATTACTACAACGTTAATTAAAAAAAAATTGCCTAAAAATCTGTCGGGGGCTGGGGGGGGGATGGCATCGGTTCAATGCGGTCGATGAAAAGATACACAGACTAAAAAACGGAGCGCATATGCACTAAAGTGCGATATTTATCTCCTCCATTCAACAGCATGTACTGTAGCAAGTGCAATATCTCGCATATTGAGGTGCCTTATATTATATTATAGTCCTTATCGATCTGTACACCGTTCACTCTTGTTAGTCGTGCTTCGAATTAGTCATGAATCGTAATTATATGAGAAACTATGGTACACTAATCATGTATAGTCGTGCAATAATATTAATCGTGCCCAGCTCGCGGCGCCAGCCATCCCCCGACAAGTTGCCGTTGGACATCGACAGCCACAACTTATGAGAGTGCTCACTTTCCGAATTAGGATGAACGACACAGAGACACGACTGCAGCATGCTGTCGGGGTAAAAGGTTGGGGTCGCTGTGTAGCTTGGATGGAGGGCAACGCTGTCGAGGATGGAGAGAAGGGTCTCGACGGTCGTAGGGTCGATTAGTTCCCGTCCCTCTTCCAGGCCACCGACCGCCGCGTCAACCTTAACAAGGCGCGAGACTGGAGCGCAAAGCGTTCAGTCCTTCAAGCTGCGCTGGACGACGGCCAGCAGCGCATGTATGCCAGGACGGCGAGCGGCAGAAGACACCAGTTTACGCACAAGGCTCTGGTCGGTCGTGGGCGCAGGCTCGATGGACACTGGGCCTGGCTCTATCCGCTGTTACTTGCAGAGTTTGAGCGGTTCGATGAGCGAGTTTAAAGCTTTCTTTCCGGCTCTTGATGGACATGGCAATGACCACGATCGAAGAAAGAAACCACGCTGCATACAACTCCGGGTACGGCTTTAGTGAAAAGAAGCTCTGTACACTGACCACGCCTCGACGAATCCAGGATCTCACCGACCGGCAAAATTTTGTGTACCGAAAGTTGAAAGGGAAGAAGCAGGTTAGTGACAAAAAGATTGCACAAATCAACCAGTCTATAGCGTCACACCTTGGTATGCTGAAACGCGAATTTGATGACGGCCGGCTTGACCCTGACCAGCAGTACAACATAGATGAATCACATTTTGTCATAGATCTGGATTACGGTAAGACATTGGACTTCCGCGGTGCCGACGGCGCAAAAACCGTGGTATTGTATCAGGTACCACATATTGCAATTTGTTACCCAAATACTTTTTTCTGCGCCAATTTAGTCTACTGATAAATATTAACTTATGTGAGTACGTCGAGAAGGAGTTACAAAGCGCGGATGATTGAAGGAAAGTCGAGACGCCATTCTGAAGCTAATAATCAACAATGTCAAATCAAGCTACCCTATCCAAGGCCTATCGGACACTGCTAAAATAGTTGCATACCGCTCGTCGCCCAGAGCCTTTATCAACAACAAACTGATGTAGGAGTGGCTATAGGACGCCGGCTTCTGGGGTCCATCAGGGCCTTTGGGCAAGAGCGTGTGCTGTGGATGGACAGATCAAGTGGACACGCAGGTGATGACGCTGTGTCACTTGGAAAGGAGCTCAAGACTTGCAGCCGCTTCTTCCCTCCTAACTCTACAGATTTCGCCCAGCCAGTCGACCGGTTCCCTATACAAAGGGTTAAAGTGCACTGGCGGCGGTTGTGTGAGGAAAGAAACATGGAAGCAATTCGGCGTGGCGATTGGATGCAGGGTGCCAAGTCGTCGGGGTCTCTTGCAAACCGAGGTAAAACGTTTTTCTAGATACTGCAGCAGAATGCGTCCGTCTAGTGAATGCAGAGATGGACAAGGAGGGAATTAGCTGGGCTAAGAAGTCGAGGCTGCTGTGCGGCTTAGACGTAGATAGTGATGGTAGTGGCAGGTTAGGCAGCTCAGCAAGCCTTTGCGAGAGATTGTAGAAACGTATCGTGCTGAGTTGGATAAAGGCTACGAAGAGTGCGCAGCATCGGCGACTGTTTAGCAGTCCCTAAAAAAGACAGTCGATTTCACCATAATTAGTCATGCCCCCTATATAGTCGTGCACCTAATTGAACTCTTTATAAAATGGCACAATTATATTTCACTAGATAGTCATCACCACATCGGAGATGCTTACTGCAACAGCCTCTTACATCGAGGAATGTGTATGATGCTCTATCTGTCGGAAAGTATTTAATCCACCACATGTGGCCGTTTATCCTGTGTGTACATGAACATTCACAAGAAATAGATTTTGTTTTGATGTTGATGATATTTTTTCTTTGACTTCTATTGTCAGATTTGTCATTTTGGTTGCCTTTTTTCTGGCAGGGACTGTGTTGATTTCTTGTTTTCATTGTTATTTTGGCTACTCAGTAAAACCTTAGGGGATTGAACCTGTTCACCGTAGTGATTGCTGCTATTATCGTTTTAGCTATACGAATTTGTAGAAGCTACTTCAGGAGAGCCTTTAATTTTAAGGATCAAAACCTGTTAGCTGTTTTGTTGGCTACTTCAGGAATTCTTTGAGGATACACCTGTTCACCGTATTGATCTTTAAATATTTTGTGGTAGAGTTTAGCTTTGTTCATTTCTTAACTGCCATTGTTTTGCTCTTTATCTGTGGAATGTTTTTCACAATGTGTGGTTTTGTTTTTGTTTTTCGTTGCTGAGGTGTTATAGAATTGCCTCTTAATTCTTGAAATGGTTAACAACTTGTAACAGAGGTTTGTTTTTATCGAGCGTGATGCCACGCTTAGGTAAGACTACAGCTAGTATAAGAGTTTTTCACGAGAGAATTCAAAGCAATGTGTCATTGCAACTAAGGAAATGTTATTCGTATGCTGAACTCAGCGTAGTACGTATTGGACATCTAGCGCGGGAGATGCTAGCGGAGGTCTACCACGCGTATGCCTCAAGCATAAATTATTATACTGCCAATATTGTTTGAAGTAGTAGTGGAGATAGTAATACTACAGTATGATATTATCGTGGGCGATATTACAGCCCGCATGCTCTGCTTATAGCAGGCCAATGCGTGAATTCTGCCCATGTGCTCCGCTTATAGCGGGCTCAATATGCAGTGCTTATCATCGTGGGCGCAATTACAACCCAAATGCACCGCTTATAGCGGGATCATTACGCAGTGCGTATGGTGCGAAGTCCAGAATGATTTTCCTCTAGCTCGATACCGCGAGGCAAACGTTTTGCCTACCGCGCGCAGCTCGTTGGCTGGAGTACTTAGAGGGCAACATGGCCTTGAAGTGCCGGTGGCACATGGTAGACTCCCGTGCGTCCTCTTGTCGGCGTCGAATTCATGCCCTGCTGAGACAGGTGGTTCTCTGCGTTTGCGCCGCCCTTATTGGTAGGAAGCGTTGGGCTTATAACCTGCTGAAGGGATGATTTGCGCAGAGCTGTTAGGGCAGTACAGTATGGAGTGAGGACAAAAGTAGAGTGGTCTAGGCGGCGACAGTGGAGAGAAAGTCTTGAGTGTAGAAGAAGAAAGATGCTTGTGTGGTGAAGATGGTAAAAGAAGAAGTGATGAATTAGAGAGTCTGGTCTCCACCAACCAGTCCAGTTATATATGATTTCTATATATGAAATAGCACAATTAAATTTCACTTGATAGTCATCATCACATCGGAGATGAGTTCTATTAAATCGTCTAGTGGGTACGTTTATGCGGCACTCAAGTGAACAACAGCGAGCCTCTTTTTTTCACTGAAAACTCCCCGTCTCAGCACAAAGTGACAACTTTTGATGAATGTCTTGTGTAGCCTATTTAAAAGCGCGGGTACGGTAGCTTGGAAATTTGAAGACCAGTACCGGGTAAGAAACGGATATCGTGGCAGGCGCTACAGAATCCATCGATACGTGCTGCACAAAAAATATCAAGCGGCCTGAAACATAAATCGCTGATCTTATTCAGGCGCAGCACTTACATGTTAGTGTCCATGCTACCGCCACAAAAGCTCGCCACTTCTGCACGATATGTAGTACTTAAGCTCTTTGTATTCATCAGCAAACAGTTTTTGCATGATTCTTCTGTAAAGAGTAAACATATTTGCTTGGAGGAATTAATTGTCTGAGGCTCTCTCTAGTATAGTCTCAATTTTTAATATTAATATACACTGCATTACTTGGGAAGTACTGCACAGTAGCTCCACGAAAATGCGGTAAGTACAGTAAGTTGACAAAGGGAACATATACATAATGAGCAGCGTCATCCATTGAGATGTAATCGTATCGAGCCGCGTAATCAATCAGCGGGAGTTCGCACAACGATCGCCACAGTGATTTAACCCTTCCAACACGGGAGCGTGCCCCCGACGATAATGCTTTCTTGTGCCCCACTTATCAGTTTGAATTTTCTCAAGCCTCCACTGAGCACCGATGTCCCGTTATTCAATGATGCTATTACTCCGGTTGGCCGTTTTGATCACTTTTGGGTTAAGTTGCGCTGTAGCCTTGGCCACCGACTCTAACAATGTGGTGAAATCTAATCCTACTATCAAGGACACTCAAGCCTTGCGATTTCTGCGTCGTTATGCTTTCGATGAGGAAGCTAACCGTGATAACGAGGATCAAGAGAGAGGTATCGGTGTCTCTAAACAGCTGGACGATGTGCTATTGAAGGCCGACGAGGTTATAGGAATATTGAAAAATGTTGTTAGAAAAGTTGGCGGTGCGCTCATCAAAAACTCCCGCGAGACCGACGAGTATTTACGTCTAACAAGGGCTGTATCCGGCAAGTATCCGACTGCAAAAGAGTTGAGCCTCTCTACATTGAGGCAGCTTAAAAAGATTGAAGCCGTGAGAAAGAAAGACATCGAAAAGGGTATCGATGTCAGCAAGGCAGCGACCGATGGCATACACAGGGATATTAAGCTCTTTGATGGGAATAAGAGGGTCCCTGACAAGTATATGGGGGCCCACGTGGGACGCGACCAGCAGCGTTTTACCGAAGCCGATACTCGGAGTCTGGTAGCCGGTGTGGTTACAAGGACAAACAAGAAAGGCGAGCAGGAAATTCTTCTGGTTTCGAGCTCGAAACCCACTAAGTATGAGTTTATGATATCGAAGGGGGTTGGGAAAAAGACGAGAGTGTTGAAATGGCAGCGCTGCGTGAGGTCATTGAAGAAGGAGGGGTACGTAGACCGCTCGTGGATATTGGGAGCAGTGACAATCTATACTAACTCGCGGTGATGCAGGTGAATGCAAACATTTTGCACGATCTGGGTACTTTTGAGCTCAAGGATGGAAAAGTTGCCAAGGCCTTCCTGATGAAAAGCGACACGATCTACGACGATTGGGCCGAGAGCATTCGTTATCGCTTATGGGTACGTGGTCCAAGGAGACTTTATCAGCTTAATCCGAACTAAGCGTATTACTGTATCCATTGATACTGAATCAGGTTTCGTACGATGACGCCATTAAGCTGCTGAAAAACCGCGAGCAGATGGTTGCGATGGTGAAAAAAGCCAAAGCCATGGCCAAGAAAGATTCCAACCCAAATTTCTCCTAATTCAAGCTAGACCTTGAATAAGTGGTTGGGCAGCTACAGAAAAGAGCTGGCGCAGAAAAACCTATACGAGCCACCAAGCGAACGCTGAAGAACCTAGCATAATTGGATGTCCATCCCATTTTTTTTTTACAAAAATGGGAAATCTCTTATGAAGAAATTTTGTGCAAAAAGAGTGTATATTAACAGCAATTGGGTGATACAATTGTTGAGATTACATACACACAACAGAAATCGCATTGCTAATAAAACGAAATGCTCGTGACAGAAATAAAAAAACTAAGGTTAATCCAATAGGGGTCGTCAATGTTATCAGCAGTTAGATAGATAAAAGTGATACATAAAGCTCGCACATACAGGGACCAACGCAAACCCCTTTGAGAAAATTTCGCATTGACACAGTTGACACAAGAAAACTGTCAGAGTCGGGGTACCTGCTACTAATCTTCGACCGTGTTCTGCGTGTATTTACGAGAATTACATACGTGGCTAGTAATCTCGCTAGTAAGGGCACATAATTCACAACGGACACAAACTGAAAACAATTTGAAAAAGGGGCAGCTTAAGGGCTGTCCAAGAGGGTTCACTCTTTAAAGTCCATCGATTTGAATAGGGGCGGGTGCGTCGACCCGTCCAGCGAGCTTTACGCTTTGAACGTACTCATAATAGTCCCACCCGGTAGTACTCTGACATGAGGAGCGTAACAAAGGGTGCCCGCGAAGCAAGATCGCTCAGTATTTGCGTGCAGGCCAAAAGATAAGATTGTTTGGTAAGTCCAGGTTTCTTTAGTTCGTCTGCTCACAACAATGACGGGCAGTGTTTCCGTCGAAATTCGAATTTTAAGACAATCTCAAATGAGTTATTTAGCCTTTGAGCACTTGGCTCTCGCCTCTCGTGGTGGTCTCGAGGTTTTTCAAGTGAAGATTTCGGGTGCAAATGCAAAAATTCGAATTTAAAAAAATAATTGTGCGCAACATATTATTTCATCTATTTTTGTCGTTTGGGATTTTTTTTCTCTCTTTTTATCATTAACGGTACTATGGTGCGTGTGTTAAAATTGACAATGACGTATTCTCAGTTTTGTTGCTCGACACTTTTTTGTTTTGCCATTTCTTACTTTTACTATTCGAGCATAAAAACAAAGCAAACCCTATTCCCTAAAATACTCTAAACTTGCCACGTCATCGCCGCAGGACTAGGCTCAAGGAATACAGCTCGGCCAAGAGGGCTTTACATCAAGGTGCGAAGCTTCGCACGCTGTACTGAACACGACCAAATTGATGATAAGGGTATAAGCTGCCCACAATAGCTTGATCATCGGATCTGTTACCGAATAGCTGATCTAAACACTGAGTGTCTTTTAAACCACGAGGTTTCCGGGTTGAGATGGACAGCTTATTATGAGATTGCACTCCCACACTTTTTGTTTCTGCCTTTATCGATACGAGCACATAATTCTCTGACATCACCGCCGACTTCGCACGCTATGGCCGTGTATTAAAGCGGTGCTGTTGATATGGGAACGGGGACCGTCTTGCTCTGCTTAGGTAGGTCCATTACAAGGTCTGAAAAGTTTCAATGTTGAAGATGCTGATACCTATCAATAGCATGCTCGGTGCAAGCCTTTTTTGCTACACGCTACAGGACTTATTGCGTGTTTATCGTCTGTTGGATTGTTAGCCCCGAAGATTACTTTACCCACTCGGTTGTACAAGACAATATATATTCCAACCTTCTTCAAGCAACATTGACTTGGTTAATAATTTTTGATGTTACCCATGGCCGCCACAGGCAACTTTCTTCTGTGTTTTTCTGATGTCCACCGGGGAATGTTGTAATCAATCTATTTTTAGTACCAGGTGGTGCATTTACTTACGAATGGGTACAAACGAATATGTTTAAAAAGATAGTACCGGTACCACATCGCCGCCAGTGAGCCACGGAGACGCGGGGAAGTGAGATTACAACGAAATTAGAGGCAACAGGTCTACCAAGTTATGAAGAAAGCGTTTTTTTCCAATATGAGTAAGAAGTAAGAATTTTCCCTTAGATCGAGTGTCATCCCTGGAGAAACCGTTGATTAAAACCCAGAGAGCTATTACTACACGTACGTAAAAAAAGACAATAACATGGTCTCGACCATTTCTTGACTTATTTCTTCATTTTCTGGCAGTGCATAGTAAGGCATCATTAAAACTGCTCACATTCTTTGCTTTAGAGCCACCAGACCATGGTACTTCGAAGTGTTAATTGCCGTGAATGATGCCCTCCAGCGTCACCATGCCCTGTCAACAATCACCGTGCTAGGACTATTTTCTATAGTTTTGTTTTTAGTTATAACAGCGGTGGATAGATCGCAAGTAAAGACAAAAAGTGAGGGCGAGAGGCCCCAAAAGGCTCTGCACTCTTATGTCTAAAACCAACGAGCCGTTCCAGACACGATTGACCTCTATTTCGCGGCGAAACAAGTTCATCATCGAAACATTATCGTGAATAACCTTCTTACTGTTTTTTTTAAGTTTTTGGATCCGTATTTTCGACATTTTCCGCCAAAACTACGCTCCTTCTAAATTTTATATGGAGCATAATTACATGTAGAAGTAAAAACATTTAGTATAAATACTGCTGAAAATTAGATTATCATGGATTTAAATCATGTAATTAGGCTGCTTTTTTCTTCAGTAAATTACATTTAGTCATCGCCAAGACATATACGCATATTATGTGGATATCTATCGAAGAATCGCCAGCTCAATTTAGCCTCATTTTAATGTGGTCCACATCTGAACTTTTAAAATTGGACCAAAGATTGGTCTATATCATATGATTGGCCAAACGTTTGAGTTTTGCATGATTTATCAAAATAAGTTCGAAAAGACGCTTTACTTGGACCAGTCTACTGGAACTCTACCAAAACCTACACAAATGCAATCACAAACACAAATTTAAAAGCGAAATGTGTTGAAATATATGTCGAATTTGTGATATGTCTGCTATCATACGAAAATCAACACTTTTAACGTTATGGGTACATGTACGCGGGCCATTCACCTTTTTTATGGCTAGGGCCCAGCGACTTGTGCTAGCGTGCGAGCACCGGAATGCGCGTTTAAAGAAGCAGGTGTTGTTGATTCTACGGCTGCGTTGTATGTACTCTTTTGATCGTAATGTTCTAACAGTTGCAGCGCTAATTGATCCTGCTAAATCGCCCTGGCACACGTTGTATGCTAGTTGAGATCGTGGGAGCTTCATATCAGTTGTCTCCCTTGACCCTGAGGCATTTGATTGCTTGCTACAGGTGTTTAGGGAGAATCTGCTCGACGAGAGATAAGAGGCCTGCAATAGTGAAAGCAGCGTTAAAATCAATCATGAGATCCTATTTGTGACGCACTACGTACGTTCAACCTGAGGCGTAGTGAAGCCCCGTCCTCTTCTAGCAGTACGGCGGCTCATCGTATGAGCTGTTGTGTCCCAAAGCAAAACTAGAAGTGGGCTTGACTGGATACCGATAGCTGTACCAGAAATGAGGTACGAACGATTTTGCGTCGACACATTTTGTGGAGACGAGAAAAACGCCTCAACATTTTACTACCGATTTGTGACAGCAAATACGTCACGGCTTTGTCAGACGCAAAAATCGAGTTTGTGTAGGTTTTGGTAGAGCTCCACTGAAGTCCCAAAATACGCTGGACATATATGACAAACAGGAACGTGTAGGTCTGCCTAAAATCTGGCTGCGGATATTCCTCATTTCTACGGTCCCTATGTACCCGCTGCCTCCACAGCATTACACACGACCTCATGCCAGGTTCTACTTGGCGTGGACTGCATTCCAATACGAAAGGAATAAGGGCTCATAGTAATGGGCTTCTTCCGGCGTAATACCACCTTCTTTTCTGCGATGTACCTTTCCAATGTTTTGGGAGTGAATCCCTGCTTATCCAACGTTTTAATCGACGTCATCAGTCGTGCCATCATGTCTTTGTGAGCATCATCAGCGCTCTTGCCAACGAGCAATGCGTTAATTGATTCGTCGATGTGGTCTGCTTGCCCCACTCCTTTGAACTTGGGTATATCGTTAACTGCGTCATCAACTTTCCTGACGGTCCAGATACTTTTTAGCTTCTCAGCAAACGCTTTAACAGCTGCCGAAAGATCTCTCTCTTCGTCAGTTGACTCTGTATCATGCTCGGTGTCATCGTGGACAGGCTCATGCTTTCTCAGTAGCCGCTGGGCATTGTTGGTGGCATGGCCAGCCACAGCAGGATCTTGAACGACCCCAGATCGAATCGCTGCGAGCGTATCAATCTCGACAGCACCACTACCATTGACAAGTATAGCGACAGTGACCTGGATAGCCAGCAGAACGATGAGTCCGCGCATCGAAAGTTGTGAATAGATCGTGCTCGACGGAGAAAAATGAAGAATGGTTCAGAATGAGTTAGTGTTCTTGGCACGTTTGTTGATTAGTCACGATTGGGTAAATCGTGCCTAATCAATCAGCCCGTATCTTACTTTAGGTAAAATCAAATATTACGAGCTTTCTCCAAAGAATAGCTTTAGATAGTATTTTAACCCTGTAGAAAAACCTCGGTTCGTAGTTAACAGCACATCTCATTTTAATGTGGTCCACATATGGACCTTTCATTGGACAAAACACTATTCTATATTATATGATTGGCCAAACGTTTTACGTTTTCCATGTGGCATCGAGAAATCTTAATATGACCAGCCCCAAAGTACGCTAGGCATATATGACATAGGAAAATGTTTCCGGAATAAATGGATACATTTTTTTGATTAATACGCTAAAAATTGAAGGTGCTGCCATAAAAACAAAACTAATGCTTTTCAAAATCGTCGACGCAAATTCAACCTTTGCATTTACAATTTTAGCTGTTATTGACAGCCAATTTTATCACGCGAAGCAGGATAATCTCAGGATTATGTTTAGGTATGGTAGCTCCCGAACCAAATATTCTGGAACCATTATGGTTCGAAATTCAAACTGTCGATTCTTAAGTGGTCCAAAGGGTCGTCTATGGATTTTCGCGAATCAAACAAAAAATAACGATAAAAAGAATTTTCTTGGTCTAAAACCCGGTCATTTTGCGCAACATATCGAATCGTGTACTGTGGCATGGAATACATTTATCTGTCAAACTGACATGGCTCGAGAGAACGCGTCCGCGTCGTGGGTATCGTGCGAGGTACGTTCCAGAAGTGGCACCAAGCTGAAGGTCAAATGGCAGGCGTTCCGGTTCAGGCGACTAGATTCACTTTCGAATTTGCGGAGTATGGGGACACTAACTATTTTCAACAAGCTTCACTATACCTTTCTTGAGCTCCCACTGCGCTACGAACATGTCTAGGCTTAGTGGACCGATTATGTGGATCAGTGTCGAGAGGAGATGGCTGACGTTTAACTGTCCCGAAACAGCAAAAGATGTCATTATTATAAATACTAGCTGAGAGGCCACTGCGTCAGTGTTTCGCTATTAGCAAGCGTTTATAGTAGATAGTTCCAATATCTGGCATCAGACCTTCGCGTGGGCCCATGACCCCGCAAGACATCATCTCCATTGCTCGACGACTCCGTCAGCGTAACAACTCTCGACTGTTGTTGCAATGCTTCTTTTTGTACTACTACGTTGACGGACACGCAATCGAAGAGTTTCGCGTCAACGGGTAGACGTCGATCAAGAAATTGAGCCTTTGCTGAATAGGAACATGTTTGATCGGACGTTTAGAATGTCTGCGGACTGTTTTTCCACTTGTTGAATCTATTAACACCTGCACGCGCAGTCGCCGCGCAACAATCGATAAATTCTAGCGGAGTGGAGCCGATATCGCCTGCAATAATGCTCATGAGAGCTTTGCGGTATTTGGCAGGAGCCTCTACCTTGTTTACATAGGGCGGTTGGGATCTGTGCTTCATCGTACTATCGAGTTATTGATCTTACTCTGTCTGGTATCCTATCTCTTCGCGAGTTGCGAATCGTATTCCCCGAATCTGATTCGGAGAGAGAGGTTGCGATGGGTGATTTCAAGGCAATCAGTTCTGGTGATGTGATGAGTGGATGTATCGGTTGTGTAGATATATGGCTTTCTAGGATTAAGACCCCAACTTATGCAGACGATGGTGACGTCGGTCTTGGACGCTACTATAGCGGCCATTATGGGTGCCCCGGCATTAATGTACAAGCTGTGTGTGATACACACTGCCGGTTCACCGCCATTAATGCAAGCTATTCTTGGAGCAAAAATGACTCGCATGCATTTCGTGATACCGGTAAGGCTCGAGTTCTTGTAACATCCTTCCACATCTCACGAAGTTTTGCGGCATCATGGGGGACTATAACGCCTAGGTTGCATTTGTCAAATGTGATGAGCGTCGAGCTGAGCTTTCTAAAATATGCCTGATCACTATGGAAGGCTGAATGAAAATTCGTTCAAAAAGCTGAGCTGGCGTGAGTTTGGTTAGAACCCAGATCTTGTCGGGTCGCGCTTCCGTCGATTTCATGCCGTCTAAGCAAACTTCTCGGAAAACATGACATTTACTAGCTGCATCATGCAGTGTCGGGAGCGTCGTTTCGACCTCGTCGTCGCTACCGCCTTCGATAGTCCGTCCTCAACTCCAAGAATCTGCATTTCGGAAAAAGCTTGTTTGTTCGCTGCATTAGCAGCTCTACGTAGCCAACCTTGTGATCGTTACAGTCGACACCCTTCTTGACGATGCGGAGCTGTCGTAAATATCACTCGGTTCGCAATTGCTTAGACCCCATAGGCCATCAATCTTGCCTCTGTGTCCTCCAACGTCATGGAGGCGTTAAAAAGACAATCTGTGATGGATTTCGGAATCCCTATCGATGTTGTTGACGTACCGACAGCTCCTAAATGCGGCGGCGATCTGGAACTACTGCAAGTCACATTGGAAGACATCGTGGAGGACTCAGATGCTTGGTATGACCTCGAGAAAGCTGTGAGCTGCTGGTGAGAAGCTGTATTGAAAAAAGTGGATCGATATTAAAAATTATGGTAACTAGCACTCTACCGCTGATAATCATAAGGTTTGTATTCCCTCCTATCCACCCTCCATCCACGTCCACCACCATGATATTCACCCGGTGGACGTGGATCAGATTCAATTAGCGAACCCACGTGGCGTCCACCACCGTATGTGCTCAAGCGATTCTAGCGGGCCACTAGAGACAAATCCACCGTAACGTTTTGGCTAATACCGGGCGTAAAAGAAGGAAGGCAAAAATTGTGGGAGCATGCTGAAAATAATTGGGAAACTAGCAATGCCATGTGGGTTATGGCGTATTGTGTTTATTTGCACAGCTAGAAAATAACCATATAAAGAGCCTATTGGGCAAAGACAAGCAGCCGTTTCTCAATCAACACTAGCTTGAAATGATGTTATTGCTACACCAGCATAAGGAGGAGGAATACTACGCCGTGTAAATTCCAGAAGATCAACGGAATACTTCGTATACCGAGGAGATGAGTGAGATACTGGGCATGACAATGCGATGGATAGCTGCTGTCTAAAACGACACAATCTGACGTTAATGTGGAGCTGGCGAAGGCGAGCAGCTACACTAGTGTAGACATTGGAGATACGACAGCTTCAACATGAATACATATTAGAAAAGGAGACCAAGCTGTTTGGTTGCGAGTCGAGCAGACTATTAACCTTCCGTGCCTACACGCGATAGTTAAGAAGCGGTCAGCAGAAGGCTGTTCGTGGTTTCGTACGCTGCAATTGCTCCAGGGCTGACCATGTTTTCCGAGTTCTATCTAGCTTTTGGATTAAATGCCTAGATTTATCCATAAATTAACCACGTTTGTTGGCTTTGACTGTATTTATCTTTCTAGATGATACGCAGCGACGATTGTCTACGCAATTGGGGCTTGTTGAATAAGACGCAAATCCAAAGTGAGTGAATTAGCGTTAATCAAAACTGTCCAATATGTATCTCTAAACACTATCTATATGTTGCTGTCCTCTCGTAAGTGTGGCGTAATCAACAATGCCATGTGCCTTCATACAATTATAGCGTTCCAACATGTGATTACCCAATGGCGTTCCAGAAGCAGCTCCACCCAATAGTGGAGCGGTTCAGTACCCGTTCCAACGGTCACGCCTAACCGTGCTGATCCAGTGCAGCTACAACACTCCCATTCATCGATACGGTTGAACTAGTGAGAACACTGCTTGTCTAAGAGCATGCAAATAGCAAAGTGAGATTAGGAATAGTCTTTGAAGCCAAGCCGACGCTCTGGACTCGGAATCTTCCAGCAAGTTGTCCGATTTCGGGATTTAGTACTACCGTCATCAACACTTGATAGCGCTAGAATGCATGTACCACTTGTACATCAATGACATTATGGAGTAATGCCGACCCCCCCCCCCACACACACACACACAAGAGGTGCATGGAGTCCTTATTAAACCTTGACGCTTCTACGAGACCACAGAGGTCCCGCTTGCGCTGGAATTGTGTCCGGGCGAGGGCCTTCGCTAGTAAGTCCGCCGGCATGTCTCCAGTAGGAATGTACTTCACTGTTAATTTACCTTTGTGAATCAAGTCCTTCCCGGCGTGATACTTGACATCGACTGTTTTCTGCGTATCACCGAGGCCATTTCGTTGGAGACGCTTAATTGTGGATTGACTGTCCATGATAAGCTTAAACAGCAACTTCTTGTGAAGTTCCTGGTTAGCGATCAGCTGGGCCATCAATACGTCCTCAACCCCAGCGTCTCCCGCCACGCACTCAGCCGCCGTACTGGACCTGCATACGATTGTCTGTTTCTTGCTTGACCAAGCAACCGGTCACCTGAAAAGATACACCACACAGCTGGAGACACTTTTCCGATCCACGAGATCGTTGGCCCAGTCTGCATCTGTGATGCCGACTACATCATCGCTGCTTGGCTGCAGCTTGAGCTGCAAGTTTCTTGTTGCACGAAGGTACCTTAGAAGAAATTTGACAGCATCCCAAGCTGACTTCCGCGGGTTAGCGGCATGTCTTGCGAGCTGACCGATGGCGAACATGGTGTCGGGTCTCGAGACCCGGGCCAGATAGGGCAGCCCCCCAACTGCTTGTCTGTACGGCATCTTTGCCATCTTCGCGCGTTCCGTCTCTGACGGCCCATCATCCGCAAGGTCCAAACGAGTGTTTGCCACAATTGGTAGGTGAGTAGGTCGAGTTTCCTCCATCACAAATCGGTGAAGCACCTCGTCAATGTAGGCTGTCTGACTCAGCAATATCATGTCGTTTGTAGCTCGATCCACCTTTATTCCCAGGAACTGGTGTGGTGTACCCATGTCCTTGATCTGGTATCGCTGCCTAAGTGCGGTCATGAGTCGCTGGCA